ATCTATCTATCTATCTATCTATCTATCTATCTATCTATCTATCTATCTATCTATCTATCTATCTATCTAAATCTCTCTCTCTCAATCTCTCTGTGTGTGTGTGTGTGTGTGTAATTATCATTGAAGATTTTTCTGTTAGTTGGATCATTGCTGGGAATTTTCTACAACCAAGCTTGGGATGCAAACACAATCTATCAATGCTAATTACATGACATATTTGAAGACAACAGAGGCTCTCTGTCTCTAAAAAGAAGGATTGTCCACGGCTGGAAAAACAATTTCAATACAGATTGTGTTTGGGGTTGTTATTGCTTTGTGCTCCCAGGGGGTCTGCAGCAGGACAATCAACAGCTGGAACAAAGCGGGCCAATGTTTATTCTTCTCAGGAGGGGAGAAGAAATCAGATTCATTTTTGAAAATGAAATTAGATTGTCTGGGCTAAAGGGAGCCACAATAGCTTCATTCTCATGCATTGGTTTCAATCCTTCCTCAATTGTTGCATGATCCCATGGTCAGGCAAGAAATTGCGGCCAGATAATTATTTTCCTTACAGCTTTAAGTATCTTAATATTTTATTAAAAACCCAGGCATGGAGATTGAACTCTGTGAAACAAGTAGTAAAAAGTAAAATGGGATTTAAATCTCCTAGGATTTGGCTAGACTAGGCGTGGCCAGGGTGGGTGTGGTGGCCAGCTTGACATCACTCGTGTCTGGGGTGCCTGTGGTGGGCAGAGGGCTCTGCCAGAAAAAACGGGCTCCCGAGCTCCTTTTTCGGCCGTGATGACCTCCTGCAACCCTCTGCCAGCTATGGGCGGCCCTCCCGAGCTCCATTTTTGCCGGCAGAAGCACCGCAAACCGGTCCTTTGGTGTTTCCAGGGTGACCCCGTGGGCCAGATCTAAGCACCTCGCGGGCCAGATTTGGCCCGTGGGCCTTGAGCTTGACACCCCTGGGCTAGACCTAGTAAACGACAGACCTGGGCCCTAATTATGGGTAGCCCTCGGCTTATGACCACAATTGCACTGAAAATTTGTGTTGTTAAGCGAGACAGTAGTTAAGCGAGTGTTGCCCCATTTTACATCCTTTCATGCCCGTTTAAGTGAATCCTTCCTTTCACCCATCCCCTCCCCCTTGTGGCTTTATGACTGTAACCTTGTTGCTTGTATCCTTACAATTTATATTGACTGTTTCCTAGTATGATTTGATTGCTTATTGTACCCTGTGAACTGTCATTAAGTGTTGTACCTGATGATTCTTGACTCTTGACGAATGTATCTTTTCTTTTATGGACACTGAGAGCATTTGCACCAAGACAAATTCCTTGTGTGTCCAATCACACTTGGCCAATAAAGAATTCTATTCTATTCTATTCTATTCTATTCTATTCTATTCTATTCTATTCTATTCTATTCTATTCTATTCCCTTTTCCCTTCCATTCCATATCATCTATTCTATTCTGTTCTGTTTTGTTCTGTTCTATTCTACTCTATCATTGCAGTTGTTAAATCAGTAACACGCTTGTTAAGCAAATCTGTCTTCCCTATTGACTCTCTGCTTGTCAGAAAGTCACAAAAGGGGATCACGCAACTCTGGGACACTGCAACCGTCATAAATATGAACCTGTTGCTAAGCGGGTGGATGTCGGTCACATGACCCCAGGGACGCTGCAACGGTCATCACTGTGAAAAATGGTCATAGGTCTCTTTTTTTCCAGTGCCGTTGTAACTTCCAACAGTCACTAAATGAACGGGGACTGCCTATATATGTGGGCCACCATACGAAAAATAGCTGTTAATCATCCCATCCTGTTCCTCCCTGCTACAAATTGACATATAACCATCTGCTAAAAACATATGGGCTCTGTTCGTCTCCACCCACCAGAGAGCTGTCCTACTCCTAGGCGGCTTGTTAAAAAGCAACTCTAATAAAATCTTTCTCTCCGTTTCTTTGCAACACGTCCTCCTCCATAAACCTCTTTTTATTTTTATTTCTTGGTTCTACGTCCAACATTACATGAAAAAAAAAAAGAAACCAGTAACACCAATATACAGGCACGGAAAAGATTTGTCTTGCCTGTCGACTCAGCAAATAGATTTTTTTCCTAGACCTCCTCCTCCCCCCCAAAAAAAAACAGAGTCCAGGCAAGCATTTTCCATTAACAAAAAAAAAACCAACAACTTAGAGCTTGCTTATCTCTTCAGCTACACACCAGGCTTACTCCTTACGTACAAAAAACACTCAACTCAAAATGAAATGGGGGAAGATTAAAGTCCGCATTAGTCATAGCTTTGAAGTTTTCGAAAAGTTCCTCTAAAGCAAAGTTTGAAGGTTCACGCCCACACCCGCTGCTCCTTCCCGGCTCTTTTTGCTTTTAAAGAGGATAAAAAACAGGTACAGAGTAAACTTATGGCTCACCTGACTCATTGTGGAATCCCTTCTGTTATCGAGCAAAATTGAAGGGACTGTTTCAGTGCCATGGGGCATGTGTCTACCTGTTGGTTTCCCTGATTCAATTCTTGGAATCACCAATTATACTGTCGTGTACCTCTTTTTCTGCACAAATGGCATTTGTGGACAAGCATAAGCTATATATATATATAGATATATATATAAAAGCGAAATGCCACTCACGCATCATCACAAACTCTCCAGAACCGTAAAGCCTACAAACTTCAAATTTGGCACGTATGTTCCTCTCGGCTTCTAGGTGCTCACTAAGAAAGGATTTTTAGAAATGACCATCAGAGCATTAGTATTTCGTATATTATTATTAACACGCTCTGATGCTAAGGAGTTCTACTCCCTCTTCCCACCTGAAAAGAAATCTGTTCCAAATGCAAAACACAAGCAGCGGAGAGGAGTTTCAGTTTCAGTTTCACAGCAGCAAGCAGCTTTAGTACAGAACAGTTGAGCTAAGCCACACCCAGGCTCCTTGCCGTCTCCTTGCTCACACAGCAAACACTGTTTCAGTTTCCAAACAGCCCTCAACTCTCTCACAAACTGACAGGATGCTAGCCAGATGAATACTGATGGATACTGGTAGGCAGAGGCACAATGTTTTCCCCTTATTTTCCTCCCCCAAAACTAAGCCCGACCACATAGTTTCGTAGCAAAGCACAGGTATCAAGCTAATTATTCATATTCTGACGGACTAACAGTTGGGCACTCTACCCTGTATAAATCTGTGTTTGATATTTAATTTAAAAATAAGTCCAATGGGCTTTAATGAGAAAAAACCCTGGGAATATCTGCATAAGTTTCTTAAGGTAATATATTGTATATCCTGCTAGCACGTTATGATCTTAAGGGTATAACAGGTTGACCTGGACTTACAACCACAATGGGCCCCAAAATTTTCTGAATGTAACCACTGCAGTGATTCACTTAATGACTGCGGCAAGAAAGGTTGTAAAATGGGGGGAACTCACTTAACAACCGTCTCGCTTAACAACACCAATTTTGGGCACAATTGTGGTCGTAACTCAAGGACTACTTGTAATTAGGACCCAGCTCTGTAGCTTACTAGGTCTAGCCAAATCCCAGTGAGATTTAAATCCATTTTTCCTTTTTAACCAATTGTTTCACAGAGTTTAAATTTCCATGCCTGGAGTTTGTAATGAAAATATTCAGGTGTTTAAATTTCTGTTGCTAAGAGAAACTCTTTCTAACCTCAGTTGTTAAGTAAATCACTGCAGTGGTTAAGTTAGTAACACAATTGTCAAGGAATTCTGGTTTCTCCATTGATTTTGTTTCTCAGAAGGTCGCCAAAAGGGATCACGTGACCCCAGGAAACTGCAACCATCATAAATATGAGTCATTTGCCAAGGGTCTGAATTTTGATCATGTCACCAGGGGGATGCTGCAATAGTCGTTAACTGTGTAAAACATTCACAAGTCACTTTTTCAGGGCCATTGTAACTTCAAAACGGTCACTAAATGAACGGTTGTAAGCCGAGGACTACTTGTATTTCTGTTCCAAAGGGATAGCTTGATAGATCCAAAAGCATTGGCTATGACCATGATGGCGAACCTGTAGCACGTGAGCCCAAGCCAAACTTACCTGCACTGCGCATGCGCGTGCCTCCCAGCTGATTTTCAGCCCGTGAGGCCGTTTTCACCCTCCCGGAGGCTCGAGGGAAGCCTCTGCAGCCTCAGGAGGGCGAAAAACGGGCCTTCCGGAAATACCAGAAGTGCCGAAACGGGTCTGTTTTCAGCCTCCAGAGGCTTTCCTCGTGAGGGTGAAAATGGCCGCCCCCGGGCTCCAGAGGCCTCCCCAGAGGCTGAAAACTGGCACTTCTGGTATTTCTGGAAGTATTGCGCGCATATGCGCAGGGGGGTGAGGCACATTGCATTGTGGGTGCCGGCACATGCGCACTTTCAGCACTCCACAACAAAAAGGTTCGCCATCACTGGGCTATGATATAGAATTGCTGGCTGCGTCATAAAACTATCTTGCAGAATTTTGGCTGGTTCTCGATAGAAGACAAAGCCAAGCGAGAAATCCAATGCAGCATTTCATCCAGACTGGTCGCGGAAGGAGAAGATGCTAAAATCATAAAATCTTGCCGTGTGATGTCTTAGTTTGGCTAAGCAAAATGAGCTAAGAGTCACTTCAACTTCTCCATGACAGAAGAAATCACAAAAACCTCAAGTATTATTGGTCAAGTAATAAAGTTCCAGGGCACAGAAGAAAGCAAAATGAGGTTGGAACAGGGGTTACTTCAGAGAAAACAGATCGAAAGATAAAATTGCTAAGCGAATTTGTAGTTTTATAGGATTGGCCTAGCTGGGCAAAACAGCCAAGGAAATAGAGCTAAGTGAGCTACAGCCAAAAATTTATCAACACCGTTTCCGTGGAGACTATAAATCAGGCTACATCAGCTATATTCAGGGGTGGCCTTGATTTCAAATGCCTCAGATGAGAGAAGTGAGAATGTGTGATCTATATTATTTATAAGTAAATAGGCAATATGTTGGGAGTATTTTTAAAATATCTTATACTTCTGAATCATCATTAAGAGGGCTCTCTATTCTTATACCATGCTGTAAGTCTTTTAATATGGATATTAAGTGCCACTCCACATTATATCTATATAATTCCACATTTAAGTTACAGGGCTGTTTAGAGGTTGAAGACACTGAATAAAATAACCCTTTAGGCTGAAAGACAGTGGGGGAAAAGCATTGCAAATCTGAACCATTTAGCAGTCAAAACACTTTCAAATTCAAAATTCAGACACTTGGCACCTGCAAATAGAATAGAATAGAATAGAATAGAATAGAATAGAATAAGAATAGAATAGAATAGAATAGAATAGAATAGAATAGAATAGAATAGAATAGAATACTTTATTGGCCAAGGGTGATTGGACACATGAGGAATTTGTCTTCAGTGCAAATGCTCTCAGTTTACATAAAAGAAAAGATAAATTCGTCAAGAATCATAAGGTGCAACACTTAATGATAGTCGTAGGATACAAATAAGCAATCAAATCATACTAGGAAACAGTCAATAAAAATCGTAAGGATACAAGCGACAAAGTTAGAGTCTTACACTCACAAGTGGGAGGGGATGGGTGATAAGGAGTGATGAGAAGATTAATAGTGATAATTAATAGTGCAGACTTCGTAAATAGTTGGACAGTGTTGAGGAAATTATTTGTTTAGCAAAGTGATGGCGTTCGGGAAAAAACTGTCCTTGTGTCTAGTTGTTCTGGTGTGCAATGTTCTATAGCGTCATTTTGAGGGTAGGAGTTGAAACAGTTTATGTCTGGGATGTGAGGGGTCTGTAAATATTTTCACAGCCCTCTTTTTGACTCGTGCAGTATACAGGTCTTTGATGGAAGGCAGGTTGTTAGCAATTATTTTTTCTGCAGTCCTAATTACTCTCTGAAGTCTGTGTCTCTCCTGTTGGGTTTCAGAGCCAAACCAGACAATTATAGAGGTGCAGATGACAGACTCAATAATTCCTCTGTAGAACTGTATCAGCAGCTCCTTGGGCATTTTGAGCTTTCTGAGTTGGCGCAGAAAAAACATTCTTTGTTGTGCTTTTTTGATGGTATAAGGTTACCTGCTTGAGGAGGAAGGGGTTGGACTAGAAGACCTCCAAGGTCCCTTCCAACTCTGTTATTCTGGAAAATAGTGGCATCTGCCACCCATATGCAAACCGTAGACATCTATGGTAAGCATGGAGCACGAAAACATTTACATATGGAGACCTTTCTCCGCACACTCCCGTGTTATCACTCACGGACAGAAATGCCTAAGAGGCCATTTAAAAACAAAGGGAGAACATGCACATTGCCGGCAAGGTAATTCTTTCCTCAAAGTCCCATTATTCTAATATGGATCTTCGTTGCTAACTCTCTTCTGCCATCTGTTATTTACTCGTTTTTTTTTCTGGAGCCTGTGCATATTTCTTTGTCAGCAACACAAATCATTTTTAACAAGCCAGCAATAAAAGACGAGTCAGAAAAAAATAAAAATAAAAAAGAAAGCCAAATCCATAGGTGGTTAATACCTTCTTCACTATCAAACTGTCACAAAAGAGCAGTTAAGCATCTGAGTTCCACCAAGGGGAGAGAGGAGAGAATTAAGGAAGACCCAAACTTGCACCAGTTGTTTTCATTTATGAAGTCTCTGGTTCAAAATTAAGTTGTAAATTGAAGATGGAACCAAGGGTCAGTGTTAGATACTCCTGGCATTCAATGGTAACCCAGTGTTGTTGGATGCAAGATGGGCAGCAAAAAAAATAAAAAATCCTACAGCCAAGAAGGGTCCACATTTTCATTATTCAAGTGATGCTGAGGACACAGATAAACCTCCAAGTGGCCTCAATGACTCCCTAAAAGGATACAAATGACCAGCTGTCTGCAAGGAGTATAAATCCTTCCATTCCCCACTAATCCAGTCAGAGCTGAAGAAGCTTCTTGGATAAGAAGCGAAATGCGTTCCAAGAAAAAAAAAGAAAGTCCAGTTGACCTCTTGAAAAAAGCACCTTTGGCACAACCACGATCTGGATGCTGAGAATCTCTATATACTTTTAGCTATCCAACTGGGGATGAACACCCTTTGAATAGTGTGGTAGTAAGAATGGATTTCCAGAGAAAAAAAACTGCAGACTAGAGGAACACCACTCAGGTGACCCTGAGGACACAGATAAGTCTCCAAGTGACCTCAACGATTCTCTAAAAGAATGCAAATGACCAGCTGTCTGCAAGGAGCATAAATCCTTCCATTTCCCATTATCCAGTCAGAGCTGAAGAAGCCTCTGATATGAGAAGCAAAACGTCTTCGAAGAAAAACCAGAAAGTCCAGTGGCCTTTTCACAAAAAGCACCTTTGGGATTGGCAACAAATAAATTTCAGAATAGAATAGAATAGAATAGAATAGAATAGAATAGAATAGAATAGAATAGAATAGAATAGAATAGAATAGAATAGAATAATAAAATAAATAAAATAAAGTAAAATAAAGTAAAATAATAAAATAAAATAAAATAAAATAAAATAAAGTAAAATAATTAAAATAAAATAAAGTAAAATAATTAAAATAAAATAAAATAAAATAAAATAAATAAAATAAAGTAAAATAAATAAAGTAAAATAAATAAAATAAAATGGTACCCCTTTTCTGGGTCAAATGAAATGGAATGTCTTTCCGATCTCTTTCATAAAATCTTGCCTGAGGGAGAGTTCTGGAGACCTCTTTTTGTGTCATTTTGACAGATGGTCATGGTTATCCCCTAGTCAAGAGTCCAGCATGACCACGGATGCTTTTATTGGCTCTAAGTCGAGAACTATTTGTAGCTATGATGGAGAAAGTTCTCTTGTTATACAGGTAGCCCTCAACTTACAGCCACAATTGAGCTCAAAATTTATGTGAAGTGAGTTTTGCCCCGTTTTACGACCTTTCTTGCCACGCTTGTTAAGTGAATCACTGCAGTTGTTCAATAAGTTAACCCGGTTGTTAAGTGAATTAACTTTGCCTGTCAGAAGGTCGCAAAAGGGGATCACGTGACCCCAGGGCAGTGTGACCATCATAAATGTGAGATGAATTTTTCAAGCATTTGAATGTAAATCACGTGACCTGGGGTGGGGGTGGGGGCTGCAATGGTCATAACTGTGAAAAATGGTCATAAAATAGTCACTTTTTTTCAGTGCCGTTGTAACTTGGTCCACTAAGTGAACTGTTGTCAGTCGAGGATTGCCTGGACTCTTCGATTCTACCGCCCAGGAGTTCCGCTGTGGACACTCACCATAGCAACGGCTTTCTTGAGGAAACCATCCCTCTGGACACTCAGAGCTGCACTGGCCTTCGTGAAAGACTTGAGGAGATGTGCAAGCGGTGCAGTTCTCAGGAGAGCCTCCAGTGCAAGAAAAGCAGGAAGAGTGGCACACTGCAGTTGAAAAAAAGAGGAAAAGCAATTTGATCAATAAAACTATACAGTTTTTCAAAGATGGCGGGACTTGTGGGTAGAACTGTATTTCCCTACCTTGGCCGCTTGAAGAAGCATGGACTTCAACTCCCAGAATTCCCCAGCCACCCATGGAACTCTGGGAGTGGAAGTCCACATCTCTTAAAGTGGCCACGGTTGAGAAACACCAGGGTAAAAGTCCCAGGGTCATATATTTTCAGAAGAAAATAATACACATAATCATCTCAATCAGGGTTCCTGACACACACACACACACGGTCTGTGGACTGGCACTGGGCCACGGCAGGCCAAAAACTGGGCCGTGCAAACAAGTGAAGCCCCATCTGTGGGATGCAGGCAGCACATGAAACCACGCCCGCTTCGGTCCACATGTCATGCTCCCGTCAGAGCCTGAATCTGTGGAGGAAAACAACCCAGAACTGGAGCCCACAGAGATTGAGGGGGTGGCTTTGTTGGCTTCGGAGGAATGTGGGGAGGAGCAGGCCGAGGCAGCCCAGGGCCCCTCAGGATTGGGACGGCTAGTTAGCAGGGAGGAACGAGGGCAAGATGACTGAGAGAGGACAAGCAGTGGACATGAGAAGCGACGGAGCCCAGGCGATGAGCAAGGACCGCCCTCTCCTGATCCCTGAGCACGGAGAGTGGAGAGAAGGTGGGAACAGCGCAGGCCGACCCCACAACTCAGGAGGAGAGCGCCTCATCACAAGGCATACCTGGGGACTGAGATTTAAGGAGAGGGGCATTTGTCGGGAACAAACGCTGAATTGGTAGAGTTTGGTGTCCTGGTACAGACATTTGGAGTTTGCAAAACTGCTTGCTTCTTTCTTACTTGTGGACTCAGTGCCTTCTTCTTGACTTTGTGGACTCATTGTTTGTTCCTTGTTTCGTGGACTCATTTCCCTGTTCCTTTGCTTTGCTGGACTGGGTGCAGCCAGAGGCTGCCATGTGTGTGTGTGTGTGTGTGTGTGTGTGTGTGTGTGTACTTGCCAAGAATGTGGGAGCATTTGGGGGAAAATCTGGAACATTATAGGGGAGTTTGAACTCTCAACTGGCTGTGTGGCCTTCGTGCCTTGTCCCAGATCATTACACCGTGGAAAAACCTCACTTTAGGGAACCAGTCCCGGGTGCCAAAAAAGTTGGGGGCCGCCAATCTAAACAACTGTCACTCCACTTCTAAGAGAGCAAAGGTCCAAGAGGGAAGCTCCATCATACTATTAGACCCAGAGTCTGAAGTTAATTAGAGCATCTGTGTTACCAAAGTTACTTTTTTTTTAATGTTATTTTTTTGGACTATTTTTTAATCATGAGAATTGCTGCAGGAGATTTTGCCACATATTCCGTTTCACAGTCTAGTAAGAGCTTTTCCTGAAGCACCAATCGTCTCTTTTTTTTTAATGCTGCAGATTCCACTCTCCCCTCCCAAAATGCCCGAGGGCTTGAACTGCAGGAGAGCAACCTAGAACTAAAACAGAATGAGTGATGATGGAATGCAAAAGGATGCAACTCCAGAGGAGTAAGAGGCAATTCACTCCAGATATGTGTTCTAGGACCAACTCTCTTCATACTCTACATAAATGACCTCTGCGATCATATTAAGAGCAACTGCGTTCTTTTCGCTGATGATGTAAAGCTGTTCAATACCACAGACAATATGCTACCCTTCAAAAAGACCTTGACTATGTATCAGAATGGTCAAACAAATGGCAACTTCAAATCTCAACAAATAAATGCTCTGTCTTACATATTGGCAAAAAATATCAGAAAATAAAATACAGGCTGAATAGTCAAGATCTTGTTGATGATCCAAACTCTGTCAAGGACCTTGGAGTACTCATCTCTAATGATCTAAGTGCTAGAGCCCACTGTAACTACATAGGCAAAAAGGCATTAAGAGTTGTTAACCTAATCTTACTTTTTCTCTGGTAATATTACTAATAACTAGAGCGTACAAAACATTTGCTAGACCAATACTCGAATACAGCTCATCAGTCTGGAACCCACATTACGTATCTGATATTAGCACAGTTGAGAAAGTCCAGAAATATTTCACAAGAAGAGTTCTCCACTCCTCTACTCATTATAGAATACCTTATGCCACCAGACTTGAAATTCTAGACCAAGAAAACCTTGAATTACACCGCCTTCAGTCCGATCTAAGTATGGTATATAAAATCATACATTGCAATGTCCTACCTGTCAATGAATACTTCAGCTTCAACCATAACAACACAAGAGCACACAACAGATACAAACTCAAGGTTAATTGCACCAAACTTGATTGCAGGAAATACGACTTCAGCAACAGAGTGGTCAATGTCTGGAATACTCTACCTGACTCTGTGGTTTCTTCCCAAACCCCAAAAACTTTAACCTTAGACTGTCTACTATTGACCTCACCCCTTTCCTAAGAGGTCTGTAGGGGACGTGCATAAGCGCACCAACGTGCCTACCGTCCCTGTCCTATTGTTTCTTTTATTTTTTATTTTTCTTATATGTATCCATGTATTCATAACTATGTTTTTACTTATACCTATTATCTTGTAAGCAATTGACATAAACAAACAAACAAACAAACAAACAAACAAACAAACAAACAAATAAATAAATTGGGAGAGATATCATGTGATATCTCTAATAGATCCCTAATAGTCCCCAGAGTATATGGTGGATGCAGATAGCAGAGTAGCAGAGTCTTCGGTCTTGCAATATTTTGTCTGTAGGCGTTAAACAATAAAGAAATTAGCTTGGAAGAGTCACATGATGGTTCTGGGCCTGATACTATTTGAGCAAACATGAAATCAACATTAGGACACATTATCTTGAATAAAGTTGGACCGTCTTACTCTAGCCCCTTCGAACTCTGTTATTCTATTCTATTCTACCCAGGGGTTGGCCCATATCCATCCATCCATCCATCCATCCATCCATCCATCCATCCATCCATCCATTCATTCTCTATCCATAATCTCTCTCTATCCATCCATCTAGCTATCCAATCATCGGTCTATCCATTATATCTATCCATCCATCCTCTATCCATCATCTCTCTCTCTCTCTCCACCCATCCATCCATCATCTATCCAATCATCAGTCTATCCATTATATCGCTCGCCTCTCCCTCGGAAGGTTGAGAGTTCAATCCTAGGCAGTGGCAGATGTTTCTCGGGGAGCGAAGAAAAACTATCTGCTGCGAACTCCATGTAGGTGTCAGGAAGGGAATCTAGCCAATAAATGCTCGGCTCCATCCAGTCGCCCCAACTGTATCCTGAATTAAGGGATTTACAGAGTTAAGGGAATTCTCTTGACAGAAAGAGAACCATGTCAGAGGGTTTGAGATTTGGTATTGAGATTTAATAGCTGACCAGCTATTGTAAGGCTGATGCAATGAGGATGAATCAGTATGGTTATTGCCACTTTAAGACTGAGGATGGGTCCACAAGGTTTTACCACTTTAAGAAGCTGCCTATATATATATGAGGCCATGAGAGGGCATATCTCTCTCTCCTTGTGTTCTGTCTCCATTGTGGTTCTCCGTGCAGAGTAAAGAAAACTGATTGATTGCCAGGTATTTGCATACCACGTATATGTATCTGTATAGCTGTCTTGTATATAAACCACTGTTAAAAGACAAAGCTTCTGTGTGCTGTGTTGTTGCTCCTGAGTTGTCTCTCAATAGTAGACACGCTGCAAATACTCTGACAAACCAGTTTGGCGTAATGGTGAACCTGGGAAACTCTGAGTTCTAGTCTTGCTGTAGGCACAAAGCCAGCTGGGAGATCTTGGGCCAGTCCTTCTCCCTCAGCCTAGGAAACAGGCAATGGTAAACGACTTCGGGAAAATCTCGCCAAGGAAACTGCAGGGATTTCTCGAGGCAGTTGCCAGGAGACAAGGCTGACTTGAAGGCACTTAATAAATAAATAAACTTGACAGAAGGCATGGAGGAGTTCACTGTTGTAATGTGGCCATTTTCAATCCAATTTCAACTGCCTGATTTTGGGACAGGGGGTGTCTCAGGCTGCCAAAGAGGCTATGGACAATCAGAAAGGGAGAAGCTGTCTCTTGAGGATACTTTATTTCTGAATTTCCTGCTTCAAAGCAGAGGTTTGAATTATTTGGTCTTCGGACTCTCCTGCCATCTATACTGCCGTGATCTGCTAGTCTCAGCAGCCTCTCCTCTCATTCCAATTTCCCCCAATCTATATCATAAGCAAATTTTGTTGCTTTGCGGTACATATTCTGGGCACAAATGCTGAACTGGTGCTTTTAAGAGAGAAAGCGATGTGGTATTGTTAACCCCCCAAAAAACCCCTTGAGCACAACAAAAAGAGTTCAGAACTACCTTTGAACAGGATTTTCTTCCAATAAATGTCAGGACAATCTAAATCACTTGACAAACCACTTTTTATTAGCCCATCACTTGGAGGCAGTTTATTGGCCTGCTCAGAGATGTGTTTTGCAGACGGGGAAGTTATCCAGAACTGCAGAATTCTATCTTTCAAAGTGATTTGTACTAAGGCTTGGAACTCAGGGACACATGTGTGTGTGTGTGTGTGTGTGTGTGTGTGTGTGTGTGTGTGTGAGAGAGAGAGAGAGAGAGAGAGAGAGAGAGAGAGAATATAGTACTTGTCTGAGACACATTGACACAGCTGTCTTTTCCTGAGAGTGTACAACTGCTGTGATAGACAACCGTGTGATCCTGGGAAGAGATGCGGTTGCTTTAAAGAGTACGAGATAACGGCTTTGGTTGCACTACTATATGCTGTAAAGCAACTTCTTGGCACTCAATCCTCAGTACAGTGGTACCACAATACCAGTGGGGGGATTCAAATTATTTTACTACCAGTTCTGTGGGCATGGCTTGGTGGGCATGGCAGGGGAAGGATACTATAAAATCTCCATTCCCTCCCCACCCCACCAACCTGCTTTCCAGCTCCGTTCTCCTGTGCAGGGCAACCAAAGAAGACCCAGCCGATCAGCCGAGACTCGGGAGGCAGAGAATAGATGGGGGTGGGGCCAGTCAGAGGTGGTTCTCCGGACTACTCAAAATTTCCCCTACCAGTTCTCCAGAACCTGCTGAATACCACCTCTGTACAATACTCGATGTGAACTGCTTCCGGGAGGCACAGGTACCAAAAACTACAAGTGCCAAACAAACCAGGCGACTTATCATGTTTTTCCTATGACAATGACCTTCCCAGCATGGCCGACCTCCTGTCTGCCCTCCGTGGCTATCCCCCTCTTCCTCTTGCAGCGCGCCGAATACCAAAGAAGCAAGCAACCAGTACCGGAGCAATATTTCCACAACAAAAAAATGTCTTGAGTACCAAATGCCTGAGGTACCACTGTATTATACAGCCATAGTCTACACCCAGGGGTGTCAAACTCGCGGGCCGCAGGCCAGATGCATCACGCACTGGCCACGCCCACCCGTTTTAGCGAAGGGGGGAAAGTTGCAATACGTCACGTGATGACGACATGTCGTCGAGAGTTTGACACCGCTGGTCCACACTGAAAACCCTACAGAATATTTCCTTTTCCCAGGAATGTATCAAATAATTATAATTGGGGACGGGAATGCTTCTCCCCACCCACCTACTTTTACATTCTCTATATCAGAAGAGCAACCCGCAAGCTATCTCTAACTGTCATCAGCTTTCAGTTTACCTCAGGTCTAACATGGGTAAGGCCAAGAACGCATTTATGTTTTAGGCAGCCATCCTTTTACAGTTTGCTGTGTGCAACTTCCCTTTTTAAACACTGTGTTCCCAGCTGCAGCCAATGAAGGGAATCAGGGCCCTTTCCTCCCCCGTAAACCACACAACTCACGTTGCTCCCTTCTCAGTTCCTCCCTAGGATGAAAAGGGGGTGGGCCTGGGTCTTCCTCCAAATTCCCTCTCCCTTGCTTTACCTCTCACCTGCTCTGCCCAGTTGGCCTTTGCCCTTCCCCAGTTTCTTCCACAGCCAACTGAGCCACACTAACACTCCCTGTCAGCTGCTCGGCGTCCCCCTTGGAATCAGATTCCAACAGGGGCATGACAGAACTACAAAACCACTTTTTTCTTTGCAGTTTAGGAGGCCCGAAGACACGCAGAGGCATTGGGGTGCTTGAGGAATTCAGTCTTAGCTAGTTCTCCATGTTAAATCTTAAACCTCACCCTGCTCACAATTTGAATTCATCTTTTTCAATTATCAGCTTGGGAGAGAAGGGATGTTCGCTCACCTTTGCAAATCCTGTCTTCGTTACTGTAGAACTGGGCTCTGCATTGAGGCAAGCAGGTGCCAACTGGCCTTTCCTCAAGGCTCAGGTATGGTTGAAGCTTCTCCTCTGGGTTCATGCACTGCGTACAGTGTGAATGTTCTGGGCCCACACATGCCCTGCAGGATGAATGGCAACCTGCAGAAGAAGAGCCGGAAAACAAACTGAACAGATACAAACTCCCAACGGATGAATAAAACTGCAGAAAGAACAACTGCAACCAGCCTGCCTTCCACAGAAGACCTGCCTATTTAGGAGATCGGAAGGAGGCAACTGGACGTCCTTTTTTTTTCTATGAAGATATTTTGCTTCTCATCCAAGAAGCTTCTTCAGTTCTGAGAGGATAGTGGGGAATGGAAGGATTTATGGTGTGGGAATGGGAAGGGATTTCCAGAGGAAAAAAATTGCAGACTGAAGGAACCATTTGCACTACTCAGGTGACCCTGAGGACACAGATAAACCTCCAACGGCTTCAACGACCTTCTGAAACCATGGTGGCAAATCTATGGCACGCGAGCTGTCACCCCAGCTCGGCTCTGCCACGCTTGTGCATGCGCCTCCCACCGACCAGCTGGTCTTCGGGCTTCTGCAAGGTGCATGTGTAGGGAGACGCATGCGTATGCGTGGGGAGCATGCATGGAGGGCACATGCACGGGGGACGTGCACGCATTGCATTTTGGCGATGCGCACACTTGCACATGGGGCACTCAGTGCCAAAATGGTTAGCCATCACTGCTCTAAAAGGAATGCAAATGACCAGCTGTCTGCAAGGAATATAAATCCTTCCGTTCCCCACCATCCAGTCAGAGCTGAAGAAGCTTCTTGGATGAGAAGCGAAAGGCCTTCAAAGAAAAAAACCAGAAAGTCCAGTTGCCTCTTGGAAAAAGCACCTTTGGGACAACCATGGCCTGGAGCAGGGGTTGCCAACCTTTTGGACCTCAGGGACCACACCAAACTCATAATTTTAAATCCCGCAGACCAGAGACCCTGGGAAAATCCCCCCAAAAGTCTGCAGGAAAATTCCCCACCCTGTTTTCCTACCGATCGATCATTCTTTATTTGGGATCGCAGGATACCAGCTCCAGCTCCGTTCTCGGGGGTAGGGGGGGGAGAGAAAGACTTTTGGCTTCATGCAAGGAAAATAGCAGAAGCAGCAGAAGTCTTTTTTCTCTCTCCCCCAAATTCCGCCAGAAACGAGTCTTTGCCGGCGCAGCCTCTTGGAGCAGGAGGCCTTGCAGGGTCCCCAAGACTCATTTCTGGCAGAGTTTGGGAGAGAGAAAGAAAGACTTTTGCTGCTTTCCTTACGTGCAGTCAAAAGCACAAGAAGAAAGAAATGGAAAGAAGCAGCCCGGTGGCCAGGCGAGGCACATGGGGTGAGTGTGGCAAGTTCCCCCCCCCCCCTGTCCTTTCCCCCCTCCCCTCACTACCTCATGTTGTTCACAATGCAAGTGACGCAAGCCTTGTTTTCTCACAGGCCATGTGGGCGGCACAGCCTTGTATTCCCACACAGCTTGGATTAATTGCTTTGGGTGGTGCTTTGTGGGGGGGGGGGGTGCCATTTCTCTGCGGATCACCAAAATGTTCTCGCAGACCACCAGTGGTCCCCAGCCTGCTGGTTGGCAACCACTGACCTAAATGACTAACAATCTCTACAGGCTGAGGGCTGAGGAAAATATCTGCAGTCTTCTTCACATCCTGGACATAAATGATTTCAACTCCTCCTCTCTAGGATGGCGCTATAGGGCATTGCAGATCAAAACAACTACCCTGTTTCTCCAACAATACGGCCTCCTCCAATAGGAAGTCCCAGCATGTTTTATAGGCATGAAATGAAATTAAGCCCCTCCCCCCAAATTAAGGCCTATATTAAAACATGTGAAATGGGGGGGGAATGGTGGGGGGGCTTGCTGTTAGGAAGTACTTTTGTTGCACACCCGGATATGGTGCTGCCTGCGTTGACCCCGATACGAAGTGCCCCACCAACGCCGAGGTCAACATCCAAGCCGTCGCCGCCCGCCCGAAGATGCAAGGGGGGGGGGAATTAAGTCACCCCCGAAAAGACGGCCTAGCCATTTTTTCAGGGCTCAAAAAAAAAATAAGACCCGGCCTTATTATATGAGAAACACGGTAGACATAGACATTTTCCCCCACTTGGGCCATCACTCTGCTGTACATCTAAACCACACAATGCTGTCTTATGTCTATGTGTATTTACCATGTCTGTAATATTATTATTATTTATCCTTCTTATATATATATATATTTTATCCTCCTCCTCTCATTGGTATTATTATTATTATTATCATCATCATTATTCCATTGGTTTGCATGTACATTGAGAGCTTCTGCACCGGAGACAAATTCCTTGTGTGTCAAATCACCCTTGGCCAAATAAAATGTCTCATTCTTTCTCAAAGGTGCTTTTTCAAAAGGCAACTGGACTGTATTCTTTCCATGAGGACGACGTTTCGCTTCTCATCCAAGAAGCTTCTTCAGTTCTGACTGACGTTTCTTCAATTCTGATTCAGAACTGAGCAAGCTTCTTGGATGAGAAGTGAAACTTCTTCAAGGAAAAACTACAGTCCAGTTGTCATTTGAAAAAGCACCTTTGAGACAACCATGACCTGGATGACTGCTCCATAGACATATTTGATTAAATGTGAAATTCATCTTAGATGAGGCTCTCTCTATGGGAGACGCTCTAGATCCATATTCAATGCCAAGTCTCAATATCTTCCATATAAACTGAGTTCAACTTCCACAATTCCCTGGTCAGCTTGGCCATTGCTAGGAATTCTGGGAGTTGAAATCTACCCATATGGAAGGTATTCAGACTGTACCTAAGGTAGCTTTTTCCAGTCAGTGGAACGATCCCTCCTGTAGGGGATGACCAGGCTGAGCCCGAGGGAGGGGTCAAACTTGTCATTAGTCTTGAGTCCCTTCACTCCCAACAAGAGATCAAAGTCCAGCCCACCTCAAATCCCTTTCATTCTTATCTACCACCAATTTGCTTTGGCTATTAATAGTTCAGATTCTTGTAGAGAGCATTAGCATACAAGAAATCTATATTCATTTGAACTGTCTGGGCTCCTGTGATTGACATTGGCAGCTGTTTTCTTTCTTCTCCTTCCAGCATTATTGCCCTGGTCCATCAACATTCTCAACATCACACAACCATTTCTTTTTCTGGAGGGGGTGGGGGTTGTCATGAAACCCAGGAAAACCTTTTAAGAAGTGATTTCAGTTCAATTCCAAAAGTGACTTATCTCAAAAAAGTCTCTAAAAGATTTCAGGAGTAATGAAAAACTTTCCAAACATTGAAACCACAGGAGAGAACGAATCGCAGAGATTTTATTTGTCGGCCTATGAAGGCTGGGAAATCTGGGTTACCTTTACAGAGATTGTGGTGCTGATAAAAGCCCTCTCCACAAGCGAGGAGACAGTGGCCCTGGTAGAAGGCCTGGGGGAAGGAGCAGGAGGTACACTGAGTGGGCAAAGGTCCTGTACAGCTGGTGCACGAACCGTGGCAAACTGGGAACCAAGAAAGAAAGAAAATGACAATCAAGCCTTTCACAATTTGGATCTCAGAGTAACAGGATATTAGAGATCCCACAAACCCACTTTACGGTCAGTTTCTCTTGCTCCCCTCTGAATCACTGTATTGCCGACAACAATCTGGATCCTCACTTTACTGACCTTCTTCTCATCTTCCTTCCTTCCTTCCTTCCTTCCTTCCTTCCTTCCTTCCTTCCTTCCTTCCTTC